TCGTTGCCCTTCTCTGGACACGCTCTAACACCTCAACATCCTTCTTGTAGTGAGGGGCCCAATTTTGAATTTCCAGTGTTGCATTTCTCCTGCTGAGTTACACCCTGTAGACACGTCTTCCTCCAGGACCCTTGTCTCAAGCCTTTTTTTCGTTGTGTACCAGCTTGCTTTCTCAATGGGCAAGGGATGGCAGGGGAAGAGAAGCAGGTCCCTCAGACCACAGGGGCACTGTCACAAAGGAGGGGAGTTTTTTCAGATAAGGTGCCTATAGCTAAGATGTCTACATCTGACATGGCTCTCCAGGTGATCTTGTTTAGCGATGCAGAGAGGAACAGGCACCTCTGGGCTGTACATCACCTCCTCTGCTGCAGGATGAGAAGAATAAGACTCGACAGGTATCTATTTCTCTTCACTGACTATAAAGGAAACCAGGACAACAAGCTCCAGCACAGGTGTCTATGTTGCAGACATCTGTGTTTAGCCACCCAAACTACACCTGAGGTGTCCATACCATGACTGAGAGAGAGAGAGGAATTTCCTGAGCAGCCATTTAGCCTCGCTCCAGTCACCTCACTCCCTTAGATTAAAATGTGGTAGCACTGTTCACTGACACCTTGGCACACAGGAGACCCATCCCCAGATGTGCTCTGGAGAGTGAGCAGGGCATGCTTTGCTCTCCCCTCTGCAGCAGACTACTGCCAGAGACACACGTCAAGGAGGGTAGGGGCAAACCAGCAGTTGCCACCTGAACCCGGTGCATGGGACATGAAGGCCAGTGCACTGTGCAGTGGGAACAGGTCTTTTGTGTTAGATGGTCCTTGAATCATGGGGGGGTTTCAGTCCACAGCACACCAGGAGCGTTAGAGGGAAGAACACAGCAGAACCAAGGAGGAATGTGCCCTTGCCATCTCACTGACCTACACCAAGGCATGCCCGCTTGTCTGGATATTCAAATTCCTGGCTTTTCACCTCCCTTGCCATTTCTACCATTTGCTCAGTGAATGAAAGAGCTGAAGAAAAGGCATAGCGAGCTGAAACGTCCTGAAAACGCTGAGCTGCCTTCTAGCACACCGAAGAGAAAGAAAATCTCTACATAGAGATGAAGCTGGCCCTGCCACACCGTTGTTTGGATCAGACAACCTCTGAAGGTCTCTTCATACCTATCTCTTTTGAGCACTCCACGAATCCCTGACCAACAGACTGTTATGGTAGTTAGGCACGGAAATGGGGCTCGGATGAGGAAATGCCTTTGTGGATGCACTGTAAGTACTGGGGTAAGTTAAACTGCAAGAAGGGAGCTGTGATACAGGCTTCCCTCTTCTTCCAACTCACTCAACAATCTGCTCTTGAGATACCAAAATAAAGAGTTACCTAGGCCTCATTCCACTGGAATTTTGTGTTTTTCATATACATTACCTACACACACATACTAATATACTTTTGTATATTAAATTTTCATACTAGTGGCTCTGCTTACTTACATACAAACTGACTGAACCCACTAAACTCTGGGCAGGAATTGCTGTCGGTGCCCTGCAAGCTGCAGCACAAGGGCAAGCGGGGCTGTGGTGAGAGCACACAACTCACCAACTTGCGGATTTCACATTCTAGGTTCTGAATACAGTCCAGTTTCCTCTTGCGGCAGCGCTGAGCCGCAATTCGGTTCTTGCTGCGCCGGCGGACGTCATGGATGAACTCGAGCTGCTCTGAGGTTAGCTTGTGCATCTTTATCATCATCTGGAAATCATTCCTTGGAAGATCTGTGATTTGATCAACAGGAAAAGGAAGTTTCACCTAAAACAAACAAATGCAAGACAAGAGCAAAGAGTCATATTGTGCTTGCTGAATGCAAGCTGAACAACAGTGAGCGGAAGGACAATTACCTATGCTGCTGCCCCCTAAATAAACAACACATCAAGTTTTACATTGAGCAAGTTTTTAACACTCCCCTGTGGCACATTGTGGAGGTCCAGCTGGTAAGGATCAGATTATAATTGTACTGAAATCAGCAATATAGATGAATCCCAGCTAAAAATTTCATCTTTCTAAAAAGCTCTAATAACGGATCTCCTTGCATAAAAAGAAGGCTTTGTCCACTAAGAGACACGGCCTTTAGGAAACAGTGAAGTACCTCGCTGCTATTAATTTCAAACTAGTTTCAAGGAATGGGCTATTACCGCAGCAGGAAACCTGTCTCTGCATGGCCTGCAGGACTGAAAGTTTGATTAGGTATGAGGTTAAAAATGCAACCTGACACATCAAGTGGAGGAAAAATACTGTATCACAATTAGGAAAGGTTGCCTAATCAGCATTTCAACTGAGCAGTACACTATATAAGAAGAAAAGATCAGAGGAATGTGATGCAACATATCCTACCCTGCTAAAATATATGCATTTTGAAATAAACCAATATTTGCTGACATTCTAATATTTTTGTAGACTGAAGTGCACCCAAGTTTCATTTCTTGAAAAAAAACCCGAACAGTCTAAAACCTCAGTTACTTGCAGTAAAACATTTTTCCTTCAGGCCATGCACTGCCTACCCATTTTGACCATAGACCATGTGGAGCTCCACATGGTCTGACCTAAGGAATTCCAACCATCTCTCCAACTCCTACCGATTATGCATTAAAGCAAAGCAAAACACACACAAAGCTTGGAGCAACGAACACACACTGTCTCAAGACCTGGAGAATGGCGGATGTGCCCAAAGACTTCTGTTAGCTTTTTTCCCCCAAACCTATCAGCTTGCTCAAATCAAAGTGAGCACCTCTCCCTACAAACCTTGCTTCACTTGTAGCTTGAGATCAATAACATGACTATCAAAAAAATAATGTTCCTCAGTGGACTGCTGTGTTTGGTGGTCAAATAACAATCAGTTGACAAAGCTGAAGGAGATGACAACTGAGTAACTCGATTGACCCACTTTCTTTTTTTGAGTTATACCCACACTGCCCAAAAGATGGCAGTAAATATTTACACTTCTGACCCATTTGGTACAATCCAACCTCTCGAACAAGAGGACTATTCTGCATGCAGGCTACCAAAGAAGGTAAGACTTAAGTTGCTCCAGCCAAGCAAAAGATATGGGTTGAAAAGGTTCCTTTGATATTTAAAACATGGTTATCATCTTCAAAGGGTGCACTTTAATTATCTGGAGATAAAGAAAATAACAGCACAGATTAGAAATAAATTATTTTCATCGGAGCGCTGAGTTTGTTTATGCAGAACAGTTTGCTGAGGACACATGTACACAACCACACAGCGGTGGCCTCTGGCATTGACAGTCACAGACCCTCGCCAGGCACCCGGACCTGCCGATAACCAGCTCCTTGCCTTTTTTATGAGCTTGCATTTTCTTGTGCTCTTCTATCATTGCTCTGTGCATCCCCAAGCCTGGGCCACGTGAAATTCAGTGCAAACACCTACCGCATCCTTTCAGACAGTTTCATGCTCTGAACATTGCCCCTCTGCCCCATGTGTCCAGGCACCGCTTCGTAACACACTACTTGACAGGTCAATTTAAACCAGCAAGAAACACCAAACACTGCCCCAATCTCCCCAAATTCCTGCTTGTACACACAAAGGCTGACCTTAGGCATGGTGATGTGGACTACCTTGTTTACAGACTGCTAACTAATGACATGAAACCTGTTTGATTTCCCCTCCTTAGCCTTTGGACGGTCAACATAAACACAGTGTCACCTGCTTTTCTCTCAAGCTTCAGCCAGGGCCTGAAAACGAAAACAGCCTATGCTTTCCTCTGAAAGACACCACAGTTCAGTGCAAAAACAGTCCTTTCACATTCCTAGTTTTTCCTTATTTTCTTAAGTCCAAAGCGGAAAGCGATGTTAACTTTATTTCTCCCTCCCTCTCCCTTTCAAAACATATTTACTTGCAAGGAGATGTGCTTGCAGCTGGAATGGGAGTGAAAGGGAAGCAACTTAAATCTGTCAGGTAGAAGCCACTGAATGGAAATGGGAAAATAAACAGAAACAGATTCATAAAAAAAATAACGTATTGAAAAAAAAACCATCTACACAGCAGGTCAGAGACTGCTATCAGTAAACCCAGCATAATCCCACTCCTGTCATAGGCAGCACTGCGCAGGATTAAAAACGTGAAAGGGAGAGTGGAAGCGAGTCAGACTAATTTCCTTCAACATTCACAGCATTTTTATTGCCTGTCTCCCTCTCCGCAATTAGCCGTCAACTGAAAAAAACCCCCACCAAGCCTTTGGCACGGACACAGTGAATAACTGCGCCAGGGTATTGCTGCAGTGAGAGGCTAATGGCGTTTTACATCGGCACAGGGCAAGACTCTCAGCTGGTATTTATCACAACAGAGTGGGAAGTCAATTTGCAAGAGCCGACAACCGTGCCACGAGTGGGATTCATCTGACCCACTTAGAGCCGTCTGAAATGACAGGTTGGGACTAGCTAGTGTCCAGGTCCCTGCTGGTGGCATCGAGGACAGAGAGGCCTTTGGATGGCAATGCATCCTGCATGGCTTCTCCCTCCTCCTGGCTGCAGAAGGAGTGGAGATGAGACTTAGAAAAGATGCTGCATCTTACGGTATCTAAGGTAGGTGAGAGAAATCTTGCCTGAGGTGTCTGAAAAAGGACAGTCACTCTTTTCTAAGATGCTTAAGAAAAACCCAGCAAGTATGTTTTCTCGTAAACTTTTCTTTTTAATAGCTATGAATTTTATACAGGAAATGACTGTGTACTCTCTGGTTCAGACTATTTCAAATTAGAAATGTAAGCGGGATCCCTACTCCTTCCAGGAGTTACTCCAGCCAGAGCTAACCTCACAGAGCTCTAAA